AAATAAAATAAAATAAAATAAAATAAAATAAAATAAAATAAAATAAAATAAAATAAAATAATAAATAAAATAAAATAAATAAAATAAAATAATAAAATAAAATAATAATAAAATAAAATAAAATAAAAGGAATACATGTTCCACATTATATTTCTGTCTTATGTACATTTTTGAGAAATAGTCCTTTGCTGTTTTCTCAGAAAAGGGAGGCACCACTAGGTGTCCATACTAATACCAAAATCTTGATAAGCAGAAAGTGTTGTGCTGTAATGTTTCTATATGACAGTTACACACAAAATAACCTGTTTTAAGTAATCTTAAATTGTCATCCATATCTGGAGTCTGAATCAGAGGTGGGTTGCTCCTGGTTCAGCCAAACCAGTAGTGGCGATGGCGGGAGGTCCACCCACCTTCCCGGATGCTTCTGCGCATGTGCGGAAGCTTGCGCGTGAGAACGTGCGAGAGTGTGGGAGAGCATGAGCGAACTGGTAGTAAACCTGTTAGCACCCCACCACTGCTCTGAATCCTAATGTTAACCATGATTTGCTGAAAGAAGACATTATACAACTGTGGTTTCAAAGTGACTCATTTCAATAGATCATGTTAATATTATTAATAAATTGAGCATCATTAAAAGTTGTTAAGCAAAACTGAAAGCAAAAGTTTCCAGTCTCTTCATCATGGCTGTGAAGACCATGGAGCTCACTGTAACATATAAAGCTAATTTAGGGTTTAGCATAAGTTTAAATAATTCCAATAAACAGTAAACATTTGTTTACTTCTTCTTTTTCCTTTCACTGCATCTAGAGTAAAAAGGGAAATGGGATATCTGTACAATGAACATTTTGATCATGGCTCTCACTATGGCAGGCGTGAATTTAGTCACCTATATATTATATGCCAGAATGAAAGAGAGAGAGATTTTGTAAATGACTTTTTTTTCTTGTGCTATTGATTTGACCATATTAAATAGTTGTAATAGTATTTCCTTTTCAGCCTCAGTAGAGTAGAAGAGGCTGAATTAAATCAATGGTTATTTAATATGCTCAAGCAAAATTCAATACCTATAAATATTTATGTGGTTTAGCAAACATGAGGTTCAACAATGCTGTATATAGAAAAGGGCATAATAATATAAAATGAAATATGCTTTCAAAAATATGGTTACATGAAATTTTAATTCCTTTATTTTTTTGCTTGAAATTTAGTGCCTAAATTTCTTTAGGTACTTTGAAAGGCAAGAACTGGATATGAGAATTGAGAAATATAGTATATCTGAGCTCAGATCACATTTCATAGTGATACAGTATATAGTTGTGCATGCTTCGAATTAAGTTGGACATATTTACAACTAGATGTAATCTCTAGAGAGAACTAGCAGATAATCAGTCTGTGTATTATTACATTTAATGCTAGTTGAATTCACAGCAATGATTAGCCCCTAAATGGAACAGGATGGCAATTAATTGCAGTAATTTCTTATTTCACTAGAATGTAATTTTAAAAAAATTCTTTTTTAAACTTACCATGCTTTCTGCTAGTAATAGTTCATATTTCAAGAAAGATGTTTGAGCCTCCCTCCTGAAATAAAATTATATTCTAAAAGCTTTGCTCCATTTATTTCAAAATTGCTGTATAAGGGTATGCTTCTTCTGCTATTGAGTAGGAAATAACTTAGAACCATATTTTATCATCTTCCTTTCATATGCAGAGTTCTCCTTCTCTTGGCCTTTCAATGATGCCCGTGTGGCATCACTAAGTCCTACCACATGTAGGAAATAACCTGTTTCTTCCTCTGAAGTTATCCCTTGCATTCTCATACTATTATTGGCCCTCCCTTTTGGACTTTGGTGCAATTGTTCAAAAAAATATTTAATTTGATGATGACATATCCCAAACAGACCACCTTCCCAATCGGGCAGTGAATGTTGGGGAGGGGGTAGGAATTATTGCTCTGCATCTACTTTAGAAAAAACACACTTTAGCATCTCTTATGCCTTTGTTTTTCATTTGAAGAGCTTAATGTCCTGTTATACCCCTGACTTTCACATCACAGTGACAAACTGCAGAAAGTGAGACAAAACCAATGGTGGGTGACCTGGGTTGTATGGATACTCCACTGGGAACAGCTTTCAATTGCTTTCCATATGCCCATCTCCCGAAATATTCCACCAATTCTTCCATCTTTCTTTCCTACCAGGAAAATTCTGGTCAAGAAAACAAAAACTGAATGGCTCTGCAGTCTTCTTTTGGTGGTAGCAAACGAAGCACCCTTTTGTTAGGAGAAGGAGGGAAGATCAAACTTCCATCACAGAGATGTACAAAGCATATTGCTATTTTATGGTGATCCATTTTCCCATTGATAAAAGTCATGCTGGGAAGGGAAGTTAAACTTTTATGTTACCCCTGTATTACTTTGTATATGTATAGCAAGGAATGTGAATAGAAAACAATTAATTCAGTTGGGGTGAAATGGGGGTGTAGAGGTGTAATGGTACAACAATGTTATCTTACATCTGAGTTGGGCACAGATTTCATTAGGCACGGGCCCCCTGGCGCCATAAGGAATACGTGAGAAGTGCAAGCTATACAGATCCAATTGCATTCACTTGAAGACCATCCCTTGTACTGATTTGTTTTAGAAAATGTTACAGTTTCTTTTCTTTGTTTTGTCTTTTATTTCAACAATGAAACTAGAGCTCGGAAGTAAGTTGTGTGAGCTGTTCCTTTAAAATTTGCAGAATTTACCTCTGTCTGCATGCAACAAATAGATACTTTATTTGTGAATTTCTATAGTCTGGTTGCTACTGTGGAACTGCAATCCAAAGTCATGAATTTTTTCTGTGATAAGTGAAGTTCAGAAGGGATGAATCAGAGTATCAATATTTCATAATTTACAGAGAAAGATCCGACTAGTTTCATTTTAATCTGACTGTTGCAGCTAAGAAAATAATAGTGTAAAAAGGTTTTCCTCTCACAAATCATATAAGGCTAAGAACAGCCATATCTTGAAAGATAGAAATGCTCTCTTAGTAACACACAGTTGTGAGAGAAAAAATCAGAACAGATCTGATACTTTTCCATACTTGTTCCATATGTCATATGAGGAAGAAAGGAGTAGCAATTCTAAATTTCATAACTGGCCTTTTTGTTTTCAAAAATAACTGACAATCTAGTTTTAATACACTTCTGAATGGTTGTACAGACAAATCAACATGCCTAAAAATAAATTCAAATTGTGTTTATTTAACTGGCACTCTTGTTTTATTTTCCTTTTTGGTTTATGTTTACAACCACACAGGATCTTGTTAGATGTTTGCTCATATATTCTTCCTCTTCTGACATTATGAGGTTGAGCCTTATCTCCTGACAGTAATGATGAGTTTGTGCAACTACAGCCATATTTTCATCCTCATTTCAAGCCAGCCTTTTAAAGGGAATTGGGGATCTTCTGAATTCTGGCCATGTGAATTAGCTAGATTTCATTCTGAAGAAATAAAAGATGAACAAAAATTCCATAGGTATCTATCGGGAAAGACTATATAATACCACTTTTAAGATAAATTGATTAAAATATGTAAATAAAAGCATTCCAAATTATGTAATGAAAGCAATTCCAGTGGAATTGATGGAAATGACTTTGAAAAAAAGAACAGAATAAAATCTCTATCCATCTGAGGTTACTGGTATTTCTTTAATGAGATATAGATTTTCAAATATAAAAATATAGAGCCTGGACAGTGACAAATGAGAATTATGTTATGGTCTGAATAACTTCCTCATGCAGTTATCAGCAGTGGGCTATGTATTTAAACCAGTGGATTGTAGGTTTTTGCACAGATGCCTTTATTGCCAGTGCAACCCAGTGGTGATAAATGGCCACCTAGAAAATAATCCTCCAAGCAATTCTTTGTGACCATTGATTTCCAACATAAAGAATGTCCTTACCTGTAGGATTTCCATATTGGCGTTGGTAGAGATAACAGTTCCTGGAGCACAAAGTAAACTACATATAAACTGCTTCCTCTTATCGAATTAAAGAATGCTTGCATATAAAAACTCTGAATGTACTTTGGTGTTAATAAGGAAATTTGAAAAAAAAATGCAGTAAAAAACAGTGTGGTGGAAAAGGGAACCACAAAATAGTTATTTCTGTCTTCTCCCCCTTTTGATTCATGAGGACAAAAGAGCTGCCAGTCTTTGTCAATCTCAAATCAGCCTCCTTGGGGCGTAAAGTTTGAGCATAAACTTTTGTATTACAATGCAGCATAACATACCCTGTTTTTCCTTTCTTACCATGTTCAGTTAATTAGCACGAATGGAATGACTTAGGCATCAAGGGAAGGATATACCCAGGGGTCTCTTTTACAGTATACCCATCTGATCTGCCTAATGTTCCATCTCAATCACTGACAGATAAACAGGCTAACTAAACCAATTAAAAAAAATTATTCATGCAGATTTTTTTTCTAAAGTACTTAGGTAAGCCACAGCAACAAGGACAATAATAACATATTAACATAATATGTTATTAATAATATAATAATGACTAACATATTGATCATTTAGCTGCTGGTCAGATAAAAGTTTTTACATATTGAGAAGGAACTCACTTATCACTGTGTTTTCATCAGGTTCAAACACCTCCTAACCAAATCCATTTCAGACTGAAGAGGGCTTTTACCTGTATCTAATCATGTAGGCATACGGAAGAAGTATAATTACTTAAGGTAACAATGAAGAAATTACTCATTACTTCCTATGACTACTTGCTAGGATACAGGAGCTTTAAGGAATGTTTTGGCTTTCTTTCATATACTATGGATAAATCCTTACTCCCCACTTTGAATTCAGCGTTAACCATGGCAATTAGTAGTTTCGGGGACATCACATTTTCTTGCTCTCTCTTTCTTTTTTGCGGTGTTAAGGAAGCATGCTCTTCATTGTACCCAGACACATAACCAGTTATGACTGTACACAAAGTATTCAAGACATTGTCCATGCAATTATTTGTTTAGATGCATGCCATATACAGGTCTTTTGAGCTTTCAAATAAGAAATATCTGACTTGGATTTCTATCTTTTAGATTAAGAAGTGTTAAAATGGAACAGAGAAAACTGAATGATCAGGCAAACACTTTGGTGGACTTGGCGAAGGTTGGTACAATGTTATAAATGACGTACAGTACTTTTGTTGATCAACTTTAATTCATTTCTGAGCTTTGAGATTCAGTAGAAATTGATTCAATATATAATTAGAAAACTTGAGAGACAAAGTGGTGTAGTGATTAAGAAGTTGACCTGGCACTGAGAAGATTCTGTTGCTAGTTCACTATCAGCTATGAAAATTTACTGGTTGACTTTGGGCCAGTCACTCTCCTTCAGGCCAATATAGTTCATAAAGTTGTGGTATGCAAAACTGAGAAGGGTGTGTATGGAGCACCACTGGACCTCCAGAATGAGGCAGGGTATGAATTTAATATATAAATAAGTAAGTGAATCTGGAATTAAACCTACATAGGCTTTGGTCCCACTTCAATTTTCATGTGTAGGTGTAACTTTGAGCCAGACTTGACGTCTGATGACTGCCTGGATAGCCACCAAGAAGTCATAAAAATTCCTAAGAAATTCATGATGTAAGTGTAACACGGTACCCAAAGCAATTTCTATACACCACTTGACTGAAAGTCTACTTGAAATTGCTGCACATAATTAGCATTCTCTGGATGTGTCTGAAGTTCTCATAGTATGTTTGAAGTAGATAGCTTTCCAGTTCTTTATGTTTAACAGAAGGTTTCTTTAATAGTAGATTTATCATTACTTTTTTCTGACACAAAAAATATAGCCATCCTCCAGAGAAGCCTTAATTATCTCTCTTAAGCATTGAGGCTGACTTTGCTATCAATTTAAGCAGCCAGGTGGATAGGGTTATTGCAGGAGGTAACCCTTATTTTTTCAAACCTTCTGTCAGTATCCTTCAAATCCTCAAAATGAATATAACTTAAAACTATACAACAAGGAGCTGCCAATTTACATCATAATCCTCTGTCCCAACTCTGAAGTTTAGGTCAAGTTGAATTCAAATTACTTTATATTGCAAACTGCAGATAACAAGCACCATACTACTCTGGTTCCTTATTCCCACCCTCCTGAAAAAAAGAGAAATCACACAGCAACTCTGGCCTATTCTCTATTCATTTTTCACTGCCTTCACTAACATGGAATACTGCTCCAGAAAAGGCTGTAGTTGGTACTTGATTCAGTTTATTTTGAGATAGCAATAGCAGTAGACTTATATACTGCTTCATAGGCCTTTCAGGCCTCTCTAAGCGGTTTACAGAGAGTCAGCATATTGCCCCCAACAATCTGGGTCCTCATTTTACCCACCTCGGAAGGATGGAAGGCTGAGTCAACCCTGAGCCGGTGAGATTTGAACCGCTGACCTGCTGATCTAGCAGTAGCCTGCAGTGCTGCATTTAACCACTGCGCCACCTTGGCCCTTACGTTTCATTCTGGATCATTGCCCTCCCTATTAAAACAGCAACATAATTAGTATTAAGGCTATCATGCTGCTTGACTGCTTGACTCAGTAGAAGGCAAGATGTAAAGCAAATCAAGTTGACTGATACGGTTTGTAAAAGATATGTGGATGATTTGAAGCAATAGTACCTGTTTCTGGGGTATTCTGTGTTCTTAAGTGGGAAGGTAAATCTCCAGGTCCCTTAAGTTCCTGGGATGACATGTTTTAACCAGCTCACTATTCCATGAAGGTTTATATCAGCAATCATCTCAAAGATGACCAGACTATAATCTGGTCATAGCAGCTGACTCATCCAGAGTCTCTCTCCTCTGTGATCATGAAATCCATTAAATTTAGAGTGAATCCTGCTGTTAGTGTAGGGCCAGTGAGTATGTAAAGGGTGCATGGGAGATATGAACACAATATGTATAAACTATAATGGTTGTGTAAGGTAGAGGGTGGCAGACACTGAGGAAAGGCCAGTCAGCTATTAGGACTCTATGTTGTTGGGTTTTTATGGTGGTGATTGATAAAAGAAAAAGAAGAGAATGTTTAACTCTGATTAATCAAAAGGGTTTTGTTTTGTTTTGATTTGATTTAAGCCAAGGGTTCCAAGTGAGAGAAAAGACTCTTATCAGGTAGTTGCATTAGGTTGTTATTTTGATTTGTGTAAATGCCAGGGCTTCTTCAATCAATACCATATTTTTGCATTTTTGTTACACTGCCTTTTCTTGGACTGGACCTTACCACATTGCCTATAACACTTACCTATATTATACTCAACATCTCTTTTCAATCAAAGAGGAGCATTTCCTGCTTTGCTCAAGGTTAGAGGAATTCTGCAATATAACAGATGATAGACTTTGTAAACCCCTTAGTTGGCTCCTGGTGGTAAAAAGCACTGGAGTACCACGTAGCCAAGAGACAGAATGGGGAATATGGGATAGAGTTTAAGGAATAATTTTGTGCTATATAGAAAACAGGAAAAAATACCCCTGCATAATGTGCACTGGCACCTTTAGGAAAATAACATTTTTCTTCTGGTAATATTGGAGAAAAATGAAACAATTGATCTACTAAAATCTATTTCACAGGCAGAGAATCTTTACAGCTTCTGGGATAAATAGATTTCTAGATATGCATGATTCACGTTTGTGTATCTTTATTCTTCTGAGGAATTTTTCATGCTTGACATGTGGAAGTGCTCCACCAAAAATTAATAGCCTCGTTTCAATGCAATATGTAGCATACAAAAATAAGGAAGTAAAATAGTTTGGTTTCAGTTGTGAATCTATTTGTGTGCATTCTCCTTGTTTATGAGTGAAACATTGGAAAATACTGCTGAAAAATCTTGTTGGCATAATTTATTTCATCTTTTCGTTCTCCTTTTAGACTCAAAACATCATGTATGATATGATTTCGGACTTGAATGAACGAAGTGAAGACTTTGAGAAGAGGATTGTTACTCTGGAAACAAAACTGGAAACTTTAATTGGTAGCATCCAAGCTCTCCCTGGACTGATTAGCCAGACAATTAGCCAGCAGCAAAGGGAATTTCTTGAAGCTCAGATACAAAATTATGATAAGCATGTAACCTACAGTGCAGAACGATCAAGGTCCTTGTCTAGAAGACGAAGATCTTCCTCTACAGCACCACCCACTTCATCAGAGAGTAGCTAGAAGAGAATAAGTTAACCACAAAATAAAGACTTTTTTGCCATCATATGGTCAATATTTTAGCTTTTATTGTAAAGCCTTATGGTTCTAATCAGTGTTATCTGGGTTCTGATGTCAGAATTCTGGAAACCTGAACACAAGTTTTAGGCCAAAATGAGTGAAAACACACTCACTCACTCTTTCTTTCTTTCTTTCTTTCTTTCTTTCTTTCTTTCTTTCTTTCTTTCTTTCTCTCTCTCTCTCTCTCTCTCTCTCTCCTCCTCCTCTTCTTCTCTCTCTCTCCTTTTTG